GCGGGGCGGGGGCGGAGGCGCCGGGGCGGGGGATGCGGGGCCGCGGCGCAGCCCCCCGGCGCTGAGCGCGACCAGAGCGCCTCGCGGCCCGCCGCCCTCGCCTTCTCTCCCGGCTCGGCCCGTCGAGCCGCGGAGCCCTCGCCCGCCTGGTCCGGGTGCGCGCCGGGGGAGGTGGAGAGCATGGATCCCGGGCAGCAGCCGCCGCCTCAGCCGGCCCCCCAGGGCCAAGGGCCGCCGCCCGCGCAGCCCCCGCCGGGGCAGGGCCCGCCATCCGGGCCGGGGCAGCCGGCGCCCCCGGGGTCCCAGGCGGCGCCGCAGGCCCCGCCCGCCGGCCACCAGATAGTGCACGTCCGGGGGGACTCGGAGACCGACCTGGAGGCGCTCTTCAACGCCGTCATGAACCCCAAGACGGCCAACGTGCCCCAGACCGTGCCCATGAGGCTCCGGAAACTGCCTGACTCCTTCTTCAAGCCGCCGGAGCCCAAATCCCACTCCCGGCAGGTAACCTCGCCGCCCTCTTCCCCCCACCGGCGGGCGGGCCCGGGCCGGGGTCACTCGGGAGCGTCGGCCGCCGGCCCTCGCGGGCGGCGGCGGCGGCTGGGACCGCGAGCGCGGTGCGGTGGGGAGTCTCGCGGAGCAGGGGAGGCGCTGGAAGCTCCCCACTCGTCCCGGAGTCCGGGGCCGAGATTTGTTTTTTTCCCCACGGAGTTTCTCTCTGCAGTTGCAGCCCCGGGGTGGGGGGGCGTGCTTTTCCCTCTTCCTTTCTTTCTTCCTGGGGTTCCCGGGAGGTTGGCGGGAGTGGCGGGGGAGGCGGCGCGGAAGGAAGGGGGTAGGGAGAGTCCCGCCCGGGCCGCGGGGGGCCTGCACAATGCGCGCGCCTCCGCGCGCTCCGCACCTTCGCTCGCGCCGCCGCCGGCCGGGAGGGGGAGGGGGCCCCTGGCATTTTTGTGTGGGTGAGCTGCCAGCGGCGGCCCAGTTTGTGAAGTTGAGCCCTGGGCCCCCTTTCCTTTGGGGCCTCTCGGTCCGCTTGAGCCTCCTGGGGAGTCAAATAATTGTTCTCTTGTTTTCTCGTGTTGATTAGGGGGGAGGGGATTGAACCAGTTCCTTTAGTTTCTTGCTTTTTCTCCCCCTTCTGAAAGCGTAATTTTCCTTACGGCCCCAGCGCTTTGTGAATACAGGATCCAGATTTTCCTGGAAGTTGTTTATGGAGTTAGTGCCCGCTGCGCTTCCCTTGCGCCTTGGAACTCGGGCAGGTTCCCCCGTATCAAACTTAGGAGGTTCACGTGTTGGTTTCCCGATTGTAGATTGTTATTTACAGTCTGCTGAAGTGCTTTTAAATTAGCCACATCTGCACGTTGCGCAGGACCTGAGTTGCGCTTTTACAGTGCCTTGGTTTTAACACAAACCTTTGATAATACACTGCACGTTGACTCATAGGCCGAGTCCTGCCTAGTTCAACTGTGATTAAAAGTTAATGTTTGGGAAGCGATGACTAATTCGAAGCTCGCCATTCCTTTTTAGTTCTTAACTGAGGATATGAACATGGCTGTTCCACATACGCAGTGTTCGATTATATTGTCAACTCGATCCCACGTGGGGGTGAAACAGTTTTAGGAAAGTGTTAACATTCCGATAGGTCCCAGTGGATTTGTTTAGTGTAGGTCTTTCTTTCTCTTAAGAAAGAACTTGCTTCAGGCTAAACTTCAGCTTAGGAACTTTGCCCAAAAGTTAATTGGCTTTCCGAATACTGCGTTGCAGTTAGTGCACTCGGGCTGTAAGTTGAGTGGAAAAGAAGAGTTATCGCCCCCACTCCCATTCTTCCTATTTGCAGGCCTGTTGTGTGTTCTTCTGCCGCACACCAAGGGGTTTGGGAACTGAGAACTCACTTAACCCTCTGACAAAATCCTGGGTTCAGCAGGAGGGGGTAACTAACGTAGCTGCTTACCTAAATACTTAAATTTGTACGAAATAGACTTACGTATGCTTTTTTACCCTCTTACCTTGGAGGTGGGTTTCTGGACTGGTGGGTATATATGTTCGCTTTGACACCCTACAGACTACATCAGCTATGCTGCCATTACTTAATGTGTTTTGAAAGTATAATACACAAGAGATTGAATACCCACTTTGTAACATCTATAAGCCAAAAAGATGGCAACTGAAAAGTGGTACTTATTCTTCTAGTAAATTGCACAAGAATTTATAGCCAGCAGTTTATGGATCCATATTATTCATAATCTATAGGTTGGTTGGTTTTTAATAAGTTTAAGTGTTGTGCATCTGTGTGATTTTTATTTCTGCTGATGATTTCCTAATTCGAATTTATTCTTTAGGAAACGCAGAAATGTGCACGCCTTTACTTTAAGGCAGAAAATGCCTCTGCTGATGGCTTCCAGTCTCCCTTGCCTATATGAAGCTAGGAAACTTTTTGATAATAAAACCTGAATTCTAATTAGGGAATTTACATAATTATACTATTTATGAATAGTATAAATATAGGTTGTAAATAACTATCATTCACAAACTATTGGGCATAAATTCATTCATATTATCTATAGCTCCCCATTTTTCCATCACAAAAAAAAGCTACTTTACAAATGAGAAAATAGGCTCACAGAGATTAAGATATTTGTTTAGGGTCACACTAGCTAGCTTGGACTGGAACCCAGATCTTTGGGGTTTGAGTACAAATTTTTTTGTGCTGTTACACAGTTGTAAATACACAAGTGTGTAAGTTCTTAAGTTATATTGTAACTGAACTGTTAACATCTTTATTATGTACGTACAAATATATGGGACTTTCATTTCATTCATTAGATGGCTTTTAAAAACATGGATGGTTCTGAATCTTGCATTCATTAAAAGTTGTATAACTTGAGACAATTCCTTTATTGATGGCATTTATCCATAATGAGGAAAAATGAAAGTTGTCATATGTTTAGGGCTTGGCTTAGAAAAACTATTAACTACTTGAAACCTAGTTCAAAAGAGAGAAAGAAAATGAATGCATAATTATTATATTTCTTGGGTTGTGTTTTTACCTTGAACATTTTGGAACTTGGAAAAACACCCATACTACCTTGATCTGACTAGGTTTTAAAATTAAACATTTTTTATTTAAGGAATGTTTCATTCATTCTGTACTCTGCCTCTAAAACATGTATGTAGAATGCACATCTACTGTGTAGTAGGTAGAATTACACTTAAATGGAGTTCTCATGAATAAAATCACAAATGTTTATAAAAGTATGTATTAAAATTACATAAACCATTTTAAAAGTATAAATGGGAAAATCTGTATTCCTCTCTGTCAAGTATTAAATGTTGAAATTTGCCTTTGGTGCTTAGGATTTCGTTGCAACCAAATACCTGTCTAGGAAATTTAAAGGGGGCTCTGTTTAAAAACGATTTTTAAGAAATTTCCATTTTAATATTCCTAATAGGCCAGTACTGACGCAGGCAGTGCAGGAGCCCTGACTCCACAGCATGTTCGAGCTCATTCCTCGCCAGCTTCCCTGCAGCTGGGAGCTGTGTCTCCTGGGACGCTGACCCCCACGGGAGTAGTCTCTGGCCCAGCAGCAGCACCCACTGCTCAGCACCTTCGACAGTCTTCTTTTGAGATACCTGATGACGTACCTCTGCCAGCAGGCTGGGAAATGGCGAAGACATCTTCTGGTCAGAGGTACTTCTTAAAGTAAGTGAAAATTATGGTGGGAGACAGTTTTCTAAGAAAAACAGATTTTGGAAAACAGTGAGTGTTATCAAGATATAAGTATGTCATTTATCTTGATACTTAATATTTAAGCTCGGTTTTCTTTCCTGTATTTTTTTTTATCACTTTGGTATGACCTAAATCCCTTCTTTAGCTTGGGTAATATTTTGAAAGCTTGATTGATTTTTGGTTCAGAGCCTTTTAATAATTGCTTTCGAGGCTGTTTGGATATTCTCATTTTGGGTTTGTGCCAAACCTATTAATTAGTTGGCTCAAAACTGAAAGAATACCATGAAAAACCTCAAATTGTGAGAATTATACAACTGGCATAGTCTTATGAAACGTACATCACTAATATCTTCTTAAACATTTTATTGATAAGAACTACAAAATAATAGGATGCCTTTGGGAGTCTAATTTATAACATTTTAGATTGTGAAATAATAAATTATATAGCTGCAGTTGTGATTTATTGCCTTTTTTCTCCCCAAAATATAAAGAGAAATATGATTTTATCAGCCTTTTTGTCTTCAATAAAATGGCAAAATTGCATTAAAGCTGTAAAGATCAAAATGGAATTTTATCCCCTTTCATTTTGAAATTAAGACCTTAATTTTCTTATCTGATTTGTTTGGGTTAAGTGTAGAAAACAATGTTTTCTAATATAGACTGAAATTGATATTTTTAAAAAGTTGCTTAATTAGTGGTGTTTAATCAGGTTCAGATAATAAACTGAAAAAAACAAGTTTTGATTGAAATCTGGCTTCACAGTCTGCTCCTAAGGCAAATGTAATATTTATTTATTAAATCAAATAATACAATTGATGATACCGCTTTGTAGTGAGTCTTATTAAGTACTTTTTTGATCATCTTTCAAAGTATTTTGTGACAGGCTTATTTAGGAGATGAGCAAAGGAAAAAGTTGGATCTTGTGAAGTTTCTACAGTTTTTTGCCCCCTTTCCTGAGACTTTTTCTTTTTTTAATTGCTCTTCTGGTGTCCTGGTATCCATTTCATAGGGTCAGGTTTCAACCAGAACAATAAAGGACCCCAGACTGGAAAGTCCACCCAAGTCTGGCCGGCTCATCTGCATGAGCAAGCTCATTTGTTCTCAAGCAGACATCCAAGTAAATGATTGAAAGAGCGGCTAGCTGTGAGGGATGTGTCTTGAAGGGAAAAGGAATGGAAACAAACCAGGTTGTTAGGAGGAAAAAGAAAGGCTGTACTTTGAACCTTTCCCTACTGGGTCACATGCTGCTGACCTGGGGAGATTTTTAAACAGCTTAATAGGGTTCTTGCCTCTTTTCTTTGGTTGATGCTGTAGCTAAAAGTACACGGTTAAAGAGCAACATGTATGCCATTCTTAGTTTTTTTATACTTTGTATTAATAGCTTCTAGGTGACATCTGCCTACATTTTCACTATTTTGAATGGTCTTTTTGTTTTGAGCTGAAATATTCCATGTCTATTTTTAAAGTTTCTGATGGTCTTCGTTTGAGGAGAAATGTTTCTCTTAAAGATACTGATAAAGATGGATTAATGAAGGCTGTGCACACTCACACCACACCCCAATCAAGTGAGCTTGTAGGAAGGCAAAACAGGCCAAAATGATAGGAAAATTATGCCATATGCGTAATGATTGTAGGAGTGGAGGGAAGCTTACCTGAAAATGAAAAAACTGGGAAGAGGAGAGAGTCTCTCCCATGGAAGAAAAATTAGGCTTCTTACATGGTGAGAAAGATGAGGAGTTTTGATTCCACAGAATAGTTTTCTCATATGAAACCTTTCAGAAACAGAAGGGTTTTCCCTGAAAGATGGATCTTCTTGGTTAGTAAAAGTAGGCAAAATGACAGATTAATTGGTACCTGTCAGAAATTGTGGAGAGCGTCTCTTAAGTATTGGACATGGAAGATGGCTTATAAATTTCATTTTCTTCTAGAGTATTTGCTTTGTGAACAATATGCAGTTTGGAGAAAAGTTGTAGAAAGATGTGCTCACATCCAGTTGTTAGCTACTTCCATGATGTTAGGAGCTGTATGAGCTGTAACGAACGACTTATTTTTGTGTATTGCACAGGTAAATGAGATTAAGATCTGTCCTGACTGTAAGTCGAAGATGATGGTAAATGAAGCTTTTTGAGCCAAGTTGTTATTGTCAACATTCATTTTTATCCTAGTTTCAATGTTTTCTGGCTCTACTTGCATATTTTCCTCTTGTGTCTGAAGATTCTTGTTGCCAGCTAAATAGAGAATGAAGATTTAAACTAGCGGCATACTTTACAGTCATTTCAACAGTGTAAAAATTATATTTTACAGTACATCTTTTTACATAGTTGTTGGAACTAAGTATATAACTTACTGAAATTTATGCTTGGCATGAAGAAATCTGACCATAAATGGTCCAAACATTCAAGGTGATGTAATTTGATTGAAAACTTAGGAATGTTGACTTCAGAAACAACTGATTGTTGCCTTGTGACCACAGATGAATGCCTTTTTGAAGTCATTTGGCCCATCTTCTAGTTCCAAGGCAGCATAATTACTGAAGGATTATACACAGGTGATTATTGGTATTTTTAAAGCCTTCCCTAGGCCAGTGAGATCTGGAGAAGACCTGCCCTTTAGCTTGGCATGTGTTAAGGTGGAAGTATGGTACTAGCTACAGTTGTCTTCTACACATATTCAAGCTCTGGTATGATTGTGAAGTATGAAAAAAAAGCGTAAGTCTGTGTATTACATATAATATTTGTCTTCTTGAGTTTGCTGTTTAAAACTAATTTATTCAGCATTATATATCGAGGTTTTACTTAAAAAAATTCTTTCTATTACTATGAGAATTATTGCCTTCTTCAGCTGTCTTACAGTTTTCCTGCAGGAAATAGTTCTTCAAGTAGGTGGTCAACAACTTCCTATTTCTTTATAAGCTGCTGAATAACTTCCTGAATTAGTATTCTGTAATATCTGTGGTTACAAGGAGTATTTCTACTTAGATTTATTTTATTGAATCTGACACCTTGTAATTATTGCCACGTACAAATAGTATATGATTAAATACCTGTCTAGGAAATTTAAAGGGGGCTCTGTTTAAAAACGATTTTTAAGAAATTTCCATTTTAATATTCCTAATAGGCCAGTACTGACGCAGGCAGTGCAGGAGCCCTGACTCCACAGCATGTTCGAGCTCATTCCTCGCCAGCTTCCCTGCAGCTGGGAGCTGTGTCTCCTGGGACGCTGACCCCCACGGGAGTAGTCTCTGGCCCAGCAGCAGCACCCACTGCTCAGCACCTTCGACAGTCTTCTTTTGAGATACCTGATGACGTACCTCTGCCAGCAGGCTGGGAAATGGCGAAGACATCTTCTGGTCAGAGGTACTTCTTAAAGTAAGTGAAAATTATGGTGGGAGACAGTTTTCTAAGAAAAACAGATTTTGGAAAACAGTGAGTGTTATCAAGATATAAGTATGTCATTTATCTTGATACTTAATATTTAAGCTCGGTTTTCTTTCCTGTATTTTTTTTTATCACTTTGGTATGACCTAAATCCCTTCTTTAGCTTGGGTAATATTTTGAAAGCTTGATTGATTTTTGGTTCAGAGCCTTTTAATAATTGCTTTCGAGGCTGTTTGGATATTCTCATTTTGGGTTTGTGCCAAACCTATTAATTAGTTGGCTCAAAACTGAAAGAATACCATGAAAAACCTCAAATTGTGAGAATTATACAACTGGCATAGTCTTATGAAACGTACATCACTAATATCTTCTTAAACATTTTATTGATAAGAACTACAAAATAATAGGATGCCTTTGGGAGTCTAATTTATAACATTTTAGATTGTGAAATAATAAATTATATAGCTGCAGTTGTGATTTATTGCCTTTTTTCTCCCCAAAATATAAAGAGAAATATGATTTTATCAGCCTTTTTGTCTTCAATAAAATGGCAAAATTGCATTAAAGCTGTAAAGATCAAAATGGAATTTTATCCCCTTTCATTTTGAAATTAAGACCTTAATTTTCTTATCTGATTTGTTTGGGTTAAGTGTAGAAAACAATGTTTTCTAATATAGACTGAAATTGATATTTTTAAAAAGTTGCTTAATTAGTGGTGTTTAATCAGGTTCAGATAATAAACTGAAAAAAACAAGTTTTGATTGAAATCTGGCTTCACAGTCTGCTCCTAAGGCAAATGTAATATTTATTTATTAAATCAAATAATACAATTGATGATACCGCTTTGTAGTGAGTCTTATTAAGTACTTTTTTGATCATCTTTCAAAGTATTTTGTGACAGGCTTATTTAGGAGATGAGCAAAGGAAAAAGTTGGATCTTGTGAAGTTTCTACAGTTTTTTGCCCCCTTTCCTGAGACTTTTTCTTTTTTTAATTGCTCTTCTGGTGTCCTGGTATCCATTTCATAGGGTCAGGTTTCAACCAGAACAATAAAGGACCCCAGACTGGAAAGTCCACCCAAGTCTGGCCGGCTCATCTGCATGAGCAAGCTCATTTGTTCTCAAGCAGACATCCAAGTAAATGATTGAAAGAGCGGCTAGCTGTGAGGGATGTGTCTTGAAGGGAAAAGGAATGGAAACAAACCAGGTTGTTAGGAGGAAAAAGAAAGGCTGTACTTTGAACCTTTCCCTACTGGGTCACATGCTGCTGACCTGGGGAGATTTTTAAACAGCTTAATAGGGTTCTTGCCTCTTTTCTTTGGTTGATGCTATAGCTAAAAGTACACGGTTAAAGAGCAACATGTATGCCATTCTTAGTTTTTTTATACTTTGTATTAATAGCTTCTAGGTGACATCTGCCTACATTTTCACTATTTTGAATGGTCTTTTTGTTTTGAGCTGAAATATTCCATGTCTATTTTTAAAGTTTCTGATGGTCTTCGTTTGAGGAGAAATGTTTCTCTTAAAGATACTGATAAAGATGGATTAATGAAGGCTGTGCACACTCACACCACACCCCAATCAAGTGAGCTTGTAGG